AGAGGTGCAGGCTTGCTGCTCGCTCGCCCAGAGGTGATCGCAGGGGCACTGAGCTGCCAAGCGACGGCAGACGGTTCTAGCCCAAAAAACTTAGGAGCCTGGAACAGCTTAGGCCACTTGTCTAAAGCAGGACAGGTATAACTGCTCTACACCCTCAGTTTTTTAAAGGTCTTCCCTTTTTACCCCCTTTTTGCCCCACTCCTACCTCCATGCAGGCATTCACCCGGAGCATCGGCTGCGACAAGCACCTGGCAGTGGCTTATTTCCAGCGGGGGATCGTGTTTTACCGGAGGCAGAAGTGAGTGCAAGGGTTTAAAAGTTTCATTTTTGCCGCTTGTGGAGGTGCCAGCCTTTGGCTGAGGATGGCCCCAGGCAGGCTGGTACCCCAGGGGCCAAACGGCAATCCCTCGAGGCAGAACAGGCTGCTGATCACCTGCAGTGCAGTTTGGGGATTAACACCGGCCTTGGAGCACCTCTCCTCCCTCTGGGGTGTCCAAAAACACTGCAAGGAGACAGGAGAGACCCAACTAAACGCACACAAGTTTAAGTAAAGGCGTAGAGGCAGGCAGATTGCCACCACGAGGTGTTGACGCCCTTGTCCTCTCTCCACAGCCATGAAAAGGCCATTGAGGATTTCAGAAAGGCGCTGGCCCAGCTGCGAGGCAACCAGCTCATCGACTACAAGATCCTGGGGTTGCGGTACAGGCTCTTTGCTTGTGAGGTAAGAAAGACTTGACCAGCAGTTTTGATCCCATAGGTCTGTCCACCAGCTCAAGAAGTCTAAAGAGAAGACAGCCAGCCTCTCCTCGTGCGCTGCAAAGAAAGCAAGCCGGCTGGCGCAGTGCCACCATGCTGCTGTCCTCTCCTTTACCACCCTCCTGGCAATGGTCCGGCTGCTCTAAGAGCTCATTTCCTTGCTCGCATCCCTCCGGCAGATACTCTACAACATTGCGCTGGTGTATGCCACGACGGAGGACTGGAAGAAAGCCGAGGAGCACCTGACACTGGCCATGAGCATGAAGAGCAAGGCCCAGCACAACAAGATCGACAGGGCAATGGAAGCCATCCTGGTAAGGAGGAGCAGGTCTTACAGCCGCCGTCTTTGCTCACAGCAGCCCCACGGGGACGAAGGACAAAAATCCCAGTGACAGGAGAAACCACCTTTTAGCTACAGCTTTAGCAGAGCAAGAGAAAAATGCAGTGGGCTGAGCAAAATGTGGGTGCCGTGCTGAGACACAGGCTGGTAGGAAGAGCTTTGGGTCGCTGGGGAAGCAGGGACGGGAAAACCAGGCTAAGTGAACCACGTCAGGGCTGGGGTCGGGCTGTCGCAGCCGTGTGTTGACTTTACGGAGCAAGACCTTAACCCCAGCGGTAGAAGGAGGGGGACAGTCCCTGCTCTCACCTCTGAAGAGCGCTATGACTTCTCTCTGCTACAGAAGCTCTGCTCTTCTTCAGAAGCAGAAGCTCTGCGAGCTGGTGGCCATTCCCGCAGGGAAGCTGTTTAGACCAAATGAAAAGCAAGTGGCTCAGCTGGAGAAGAAGGACTACCTGGGAAAGGCTATGGTAAGAAAGAAATACCTTATTTATTCCGACCAAGCCTGAAGAGAGCTGCTCACCACCCTCTCACCACCCGTCTGAGCTGCTATCTGCTGCCTGGTGGGCAACCAGAGATAGGGAGCCGGTCTGGGCCTTGGGGATCTCCCCAGGCGTGGAAGGAGGCACACAGGGGTCTCACGGGGAATAGGGACCCTGCAGGAACAGAGGAGCAAAAAGCATGTTTCTGCAGAGCGTGGCCTATTTTCACTTTCTCTCCTTAGCAAGACATGAGGGACAGTCAGTCAGCAATGGGCTGGCAAGGTCCCACCAGAGCTTTAACTCGAGCCAAGATTTTGTTCAGGGAGGGGAAATAATAATTAAAAGAAGAAGCTATTGAAAATCTGGCACCCACAAACGACCTCCAGTTCTTCCCCTGCACTGTTTGAAAGGGGCTTTTCAGCTCAGATAAGCACGCAAGCTTTTCTCCCATGAGTGTGCAAAATCCAGGCACTGGGATATCACCCTCAGGCTCGGGTCCTGGGAGGCAGTGCTCCTCTGGAAAGCGACCCATCGGCTGGGCAGGTGCTGGGGAATCAGTCAGTCAAGAGCCAAGCAGCTCCTTGGGTGTCAGCAGATCCCCAGAAACTTGCACACAATCATTTATGAACTTTCTAACGATGTTTAAAGTCGCCTGTAGGGGGTAGGGGCTCCAGCTGGACATTTTGACTCCCTTCAACATTTGTGATTAAAATATAAAGGGAAACTTTTAGGTTATAATGACTCTAACTGCAGTGATGGCGGGGCCAAAACCTGAGACCTTGTCACAGCCGAGAAGTGAGTTTTGGTGCCAGAAGCACTCAGCTTGTAGTCAAAGATGCTTAGCCTAAATTCACAGCCCCTCTTGAACCCGAAGCATCCTGAGGAGCTTAGCTTGGCCAACAGCAAAGGAAGAGGGTAGACAGATGTCTAAGAGAGGTCTACCAGCACCAAGTCACTACCCGTCTGTCTTTGGCTCTAGGTGGTGGCATCCGTGGTGGACAAGGACAATTTTTCAGGATTTGCTCCACTCCAACCACAGGTAAGGCCCCACCAATGAACAGCTTCAAGGGAAGTTCAGGAGGATGTGGGGATGGGTATCGTCCCGCAGCTCTCCAAGGGCTCTGGCTTGTGATGGGGAGAAAACAGCAGCATCACCGTGAACTTTCCACTACTGCCGCGGGGAGGAGGTGGACGCTGCTCTCTCCGTCACCAGAAAGCGCAGACCAAACCCACCTACGTTCGTGGCTGAGGTTAGCCCGGTTCCCCGAACAGGGGAGAGGCAGCCTGGCAGCACATCCTCTGCCCCCACTGTTGCTGCGGGGCGATGGCGAAAGCAGGGAGTCGTCTCCAACCCTCCCCGTAAGATTCATTAGGGTTCATCCGTCTAAGCTTGAGTGGAGAAGCAGCAGCAGTTCTGCTTTCATTTTCCATCGTCCTCCCACTTCCTGAAGCCCTCCGCATTTTCCGTGCCATTTTCCTGATGATGTAGCAAGCAGCATCTTTCCATCTCAAAAGGCACCCGAGAGTTTTTACTGGAGCCTCTCGAGAGGACATGGGGAAGCGCAGCTGCTGCAGCCTGCTGCACCATCAGGCAAGATAAAAATACGCTCTTCTCCATGCAGCCAAGTGTTGACACCTCGCTACAGGACTCAGGACTATTTCAAGCAGCTTCTTCAGAGGGTTGATAAAATCCAGCAGAGACCTTCAATGACTTAGGCAGGAGAGACCGTAAAGCACCACGACAGTAGCTGCGTGTTTTACAAGCATGACAACGGGAAGATACAGGGAAGTACAACTTAGTTTAAACCAGCTGATCTCAAATCCATGATCTCAACCCTCTGCGAGCTGAAACCAAAATCACAAGCAAAAACAGGACTGTGCCTCTGAAAACCAGCTGCAGGTGGAGAATTTGGAAATTGCTCCTCAGAAGGCAGAAAGCCAGGGGTATTCCTCATGGCATTTAAGGCAGCTGCTTAATGCATGATGCCACCCATCAAGGTGGCAGAGCACCAAAAACTGACTGCAGCCGACTGCAAAGCAGCAAAAAAACTCCATTAAAGCTCAAGTTGCCTGACCTGACACCAGCACGGGGAGGAAGGAACTGTGTAGGGGTGATGGCAGGCAGGTAGAAGGCTGCAGGACATCTCTGCAAAGCAACCAAAATCCTCCAGATTACCGATAATTTTCTTTTTGTCTTCTTGTTGGCAGGCCTCTGGTCCGCCACCCAGACCCAAGACCCCAGAAATCTTCAGGTGAGTTGGGTGAAGGATGGACAGTGCTGTTTACCCGGGCAACCAAGTCCAAGCCCGTCCGGCACCATCGCAGCCAACTGCCCAGCTGGCACCCAAAACTCGGGGGGGTGGGGGGTGGGGTGGGGAATGGATTGCAGGAACAAGGAGGCAGAGGTCTGGGGTCCCCCTATGATGTAAAACAACGAAGTCACCTGCCTTCCTGACCCAGCCGCTGCTCCCGCACCCAGGGCCCTCGAAGGGCAGCCGCACCGCGTCCTGTATGAGTTCATCCCTGAGACTGCCGAGGAGCTGCAGGTCCTGCCGGGAAACATCGTCTTTGTCCTGAAGAAGGAGAAGGACAACTGGGCTACGGTGATGTTCAACGGAAAGGTACCAGGGGCGTGCTTGGCAGGAGGGGGCAGGCGATGGGGCGGACGCTGCGAGGTTCTGCAGAGGACCTACAGGCAAAGCCTTGCCATCAACAGCTGAATGAGTTTCTGGTTTAAGTCCCTTATATCCACCCTGGCTCAGGCCACAGGGTTCAGTGAAACCCATCCAGCCTGCAGCAACTAACCTTCAAGGTTCAGGGACTCTCCTGGATTCAGGCAGGGCAAGCTCAGTTGTGTCCTCCAGCAGTGGGTTGTGTCCTTGCCAAGCAATGCTCACTCATCTCTCCTTCCCCTGCAGAAAGGGATCGTCCCCTGCAACTACCTCGAGCCTGTGGAGCTCCAGAACAAGCTGTATATCCAGGTGAGGAGGCCCAGGAGGAGACGGTGCCCTGGGTGGGGCAGATCCCCACACATTCACCCACCATCTATTCTGGGCCTTCCAGCAGGACACATACCTGCAACTCCCTGCCCCTCGTAATGCTGCGGTTGGTTCTTCCGGCTCACGGTCACCTTAAGATGAGGTCAGACACCTGCAAAATCTGGGCAGATGCTGTGTTGATGGCCTCCTGGGTGGTGGCTGGCAATGCCGGGAGTATACGCGAAGTCACCCCTCCCCAGTTCAAGACCCCAAACGGACCTTGGGAAAATAGTGGGCTGACGGGGGGGTCCACGAGGCAGCAGCACCCCAGCTCCCTTAGGAAGGGTGGGATTGACAGCTCTAACTTCTTCCCATCCGGCACAGGAAGAAACCCCTCTTGAAGCCAGGATCCCAGAGCCGCCCAGCTCCACCGCTCCAGAGAAGCCCCGTCAGCCAGCACCAGGTCAGCGAGGGGGAGCTGAAGGGGTGAAACCCCCATCGGTGCAGTGACCTCACAGATTGAGACCAGGGCTAGGGCTCATCTCCATCTTGTTCTCGGGCTCGTTTGCGTCAGTGATGGGGACATGTTAAAGCAGGAGGCAGAGACAGCAACCGCAGTGCTGAGGACGGAGTAAAATAGAGCGCGTGGGTCCTCGAGGAAAGGAAGCCCCTCCTTGCTCTTAATTAGCACAATGACTAATGAGAAAAAGGGCCTGGGGATAGGAACAGGGCAAGTGACTCAGCTTGTCCAAGTCTTGGAGGAGAATGTTCCTTCCAGGCTTCTCCTTAGAGCAGGGCACCTGCGATAGTTTCGGTGCTGCTGTGAGCTGGGCGAGGTTTGAAGGAGCTGTGGTTGCCCTGGGAAGGGGGTTCCCGGCTGATGTGAGCCGGCGTCCCACGTCCCGGGCCTGGGGCGGGGATGGTAGCCACCAGGGCCACCAC